ATGGATAATGGATAAAGTTTGCTAAACCCCAGATGTCATCATGCTGATGAGACTTCCTGTTCGAGTGATGATTATTTAGTGTGTGTGTGTGTGTGTGTTTTTTGCATGGATAAAGTTTGCTAAACCCCAGATGTCATCATGCTGATGAGACTTCCTGTTCGAGTGAATAATTTTGATTATTTATGACAGAAAATGATGGACTGTTACTGTAAGCTATGAATTAAATGGCTATAAAGCGGAGTGGCAACCAGCCAGAAGACGATCTGATTGGACATCAGTGAATCTGCATACAGCGCCTCCTCAGACGGTCACATGATCACTCTCGAGAGATCCGGGCGTTCTGATTGGCTGAGGTCCTGCATGTGTCTCTGGATGTTACTCTGATGAAAATCATGGTACAGATCCTGTTTTTTAGATAAATATGAAATATAACTTTAACATTATGAACTTTAGCTTTATCTTTGATCCGTGTCTCATGTAACAGCCATCACAGAGCAACATTAGCATCTGAAGTCTGTCTCCGTTTGCTTCCTCTGGCATTTTCTTCATTCCGGTCGGAGGCTTTATTACTGACGGTGACGCTGCTGATTTCAGCTGTTTAATTAACGAGAAAGCTTTCAGTTAATGCTGAAATATGATCGACATCATTTATTTCCATGCGCTGTACAGCAGGTTGATTCTCTATAATGGCTCTGAATGCAGATGTTTGGAAGTTGTTTTTTCTAATGTTTAAGGTCAAATATATTGAAGTATTAACAAAATGAACAAAATCTAAATAAAGAGCATTTAAATTAAACACACAAGTCTGATCTCCTCAATCTCCATCCATAGTGTTTGTGTAGAGGGAAAGTGAGCTCATTTTGTGTGTGTTTTGAGATTAATGTCATAGTCATCATGTCACTCGCATCATTTACTGACATATTTGTGCCTTTTCCGTTCACATGAAATATGATGACGATCAAAGGAACGCTGCTAATGGTTTTATTTTCATTGGCTGATGTCTTTAATGAATGTGATTGGTTCATTATTAGTTATGATTCTTCTCAAGACATTTTCCTGAACAGCATCATGATCCTCCAGGATCTTCAGTGGATGTGAAGCCGTTCCGAGGAGGTTTTTTTGATGCTTTTGAGAAATATTTTACAGCCCTGTGCGTGTGTGTGTGTGTGTGTGTTAGTCATCCTCTCTGGATGTCGCTCTGGCCTGTTGCCATGGAGACCGAGCATCAGCAGCGCCCGTGGGGTCTTGTGAACACACACACACACACACTAGAGGGAGAGATGGATGGAGTTCCTCCGTCAGCTGGAGTCAGAGGATGCCGTTTCCATGTGGTTGCCTTGGCAACAGTTGCCGGCCTGATCGGGGGTGGAGGAGCAGTTCGTTTAGGGTGTCTGATGCAGACTGAAGGTATCGAATCTGAAGATCTGAATCAGCAAAATGCAAATGCACTACAGTCTCAGAGGAAAGAATCGTTCACGATCCGTCGCACTGATTACTGAGACACTGTTACACCTGTAGCACAAACACCATCAAACACACACAAATCTGACCGCACAGAGATCTTCATCACGTCACACACTGCTCATGAATATTCATGAGGACACACACATGCTCTGTTGTGTGTTTATATTTAACGTTTTCCATATGTTCTCATTTCACAGTCACTCTTCTTTGTAAAGTCATTGGAGCTGCTGCCTGTATAAGCAAACGCTGCATAAATGTCATTTATTATTAGATTTGTGACTGTGATAGCGTTTCCTCTCCTGAACTAATCCGTGCTCTTCTCTCATGTAGGAAACCGCAGGAGCTTCATCTCACATCCGAACAGAACACAACTCTTCCGTTTGACTCTACTGCGATTGTTGAGCTGGAAGAGTTTCAAAGCCTAAATCTCTGCCTTTGCTGTTGTCTGTTTCTGTTCTGATGTCCAGACAGGTTTCCAGGTCTTTCCTCAGCGGTGGGTCTCGAACAGAGAACGCGTGAGTGACTGTGAAGTGGATGTTGAGTAGGAGAGCCACTGACCGCTCGTCCTGAACTCTGAGCCTGGCTGTCTTCAGAGAGCAGGATTATTCATGTCATCAGAACAACCCCAACTCATGAAAGTGCATTTCAATGGCATGATTTTATGTTTCTATTTGGTGTACCGTTTATACGCAGAAATTGACTTTGGTGTGCACATGCAATGGTTAGGTTTAGGGGTGTGTATCATATGCACGCCATGGTTTTTTGGTTTTATTTGTAGTAAAAGGGATGGATTCCGTCAGGTCCGTAAAGACGACTTGAAACTGAAGTTATGATTTTTCTTCCCTATTTTGACAGATATCTGAGTCTAGCGGCTTCTTTCTTCAGTGGAACACAAATAATATTCTGAAGAACATTGGGAACTGAACAGTATTGGACCCCACTGACTATCAGTGCATGGACAAAACCGCTGAGACTCTTCTCAAAATATCTGCTTTCGTGTTCCACAGAAGATGGAGAGTCATGGTGTGAAATGATTCTTCAAAGCATCAGCGATCGTGCCGTCAACCATCAGTATTCAGGATGCTGACCTGTGACCTCTGACCTCTGCATCTCTTGTACTGATGTCAGTTTGTGGGACAGATCTTTGAGTGACCAGAAGGCACGTGGAGACCTCATGCAGAAATACAGCAGTAATTCCAGTTAAACCAAACGTTCAGCCGCATAAACGCTCCTGATTGATTCTGCCATTTATTTCTCTGCTAATGAGAATTTCGCTCTTCTATAATTGATGCATTTACAACACTATTTCTCTGTTTAATGCTGTGAAGCTGCTTTGAAACAATTCAGTGTGAAGCGTTATATAAATAAATGTGATTCATGCGTGTGTGTGTGTGTGTTTCAGAGATGTTGCTGTGAGAGAAAGCGCAGTGTTTGAACATGTGGGTGGTTTGACCTTCACAGACGCAGAAGAACAAGAAGAAGAAGATGTTTTAATGTTGTGAGCCGAGCGTGCAGCTCTGATGGAGATGGTCAGAAAGAGCCCCAGCCGGAGAGAAGGAGCCCATCCACACCCGGGCCATCGATTCGGAGCTGTTTCCATGTGAACGGTGCTCTGAAAGCACAGGCAGCCTAATAATGTTCCTGCACACACAGCTCTGTTAACCCTTGAGCAGCCGGACCCTCAGCTATTCAGTCATTCATTCTGAGTGCGATCAGGGCGGGGCCGCGTGAGTGTGTGTGTGAGATAGAGAGAGAGAGATGGGGGGGTTA